CATTGCACGAGTTCTTCCATCACTGGCATGCAAGAAGCTCTGTGAAGTGTTGATACGATACACCCTATTAATTTAATTTGATAAATTCCTCATGCATTAGCAACCTTCAGACTGAATTAGCAAAAATGAACAATAATACCCAGCAAAACAAGTCTACAACTGGAATTCCTTAATGTAAAAAGACTTTTGCACTCAGTAAACATGAATGTGTGATGATGAAAGAGCTCTCATACAAGCAACCTTTCACTTCTTGTTAGCACAGCACCATTGTTTGTGTCTTTCAGAACCCATCTCAGGGGTGCCAACCTGAATAAACTGTTGGGGGTGGGGGTCTTAGGTAAGCCCTGTCCCACTTAATTGATCACATGATGTAGTGCACCCACACCCTTTGAATGGCAATGCCCATCAACTTTGGGGGGGGGCAGACCAATCAAATATTTTATTGGGGGACCAAAGCCCCCGAAGCCCATAGGAGTTGGTGCCTATGATATATCCTGAGTCACATGGTGTATCAAGCTAAGCCACACAGTGTATCAAGCATTGAACAATGCTTCCCAGTTTTACATAAGCCGCCTGTCAGGGATGTGGCTGAATCAAATGCCGGGGAAGAGTCAAACTCTCAAGACGAAGGAATGCCAGTACAGTGGTACCTCGGGTTACAGACGTTTCAGGTTACAGACTCTGCTAACCCAGAAATAGTACCTCGGGTTAAGAACTTCAGGATGAGAACATAAATCGCGCAGCAGCAGCGCGGCAGCAGCAGGAGTCACCATTAGCTAAAGTGGTTCTTCAGGTTAAGTACAGTTTCAGGTTAAGAACGGACCTCCAAAACAAATTAAGTTCTTAACCAGAGGTACCACTGTACAGAGAGAGCCAGAGTCTGACTCTGGAGATGAAAGAATGCGGACAAAACACCAAGAGTTCTCAGACTCGGACAGCTTGCAGGCAAGGGGAGGGGAAGAGATAGACAGCATTGAGTGGGTTGTTATGCAACCAGGAGAGAAACAGCTTCTTGAGGGCTCTTCTTTTGAGAGCGGGGGGGGGGGATTTCCACCCACCTTCTCCCCAAACCAGAAGAGCTGAAAGGGTTAAAATGCAATGGAAGGACTGGACTTTGGTGCCCTTCGTGCCATGACGGGGGTGGACACTCAAAGTGAGCAACTCATAGCTAAGGGGCGGCAGTCTTGGAGTCGCTCTCTGTAATTAAAAGAATAAACGTACCATAAAACTGCCAGAGACTCGTTAATTCTTATCGGAGCTTGCTTGCCTCCCTGAGATCATTACACCACCAATGGCTTCTCATTCTCTGATTCATGTGTCCATTTTCACATTTTAGATAAGGATTAAGTTGTTTTGATGAGGCTTATTGTGATTCTCTTGTTAGAAACACAGGAAGTTGCCTTAAGGAAAGTCATATATCATTAGTCCACCCAGTTCAGTTTTGTCTACACTAACTAGCAACGGCTCGGAGTCTCTCCCACGAGAACCACATGGAGGTGCCAGGGAACCTTCTGTACTGAAAGCAGATGCTCTACAAACCTTCATCAAATATATTTTTAGGAGTCTGCTTGGATTATTTTGTTGTAGTGGATAACAAGTTCTATCAAAGGTGGTCATCTAGCATAGGAATAGTCAGAACTTCTGTCCTTCATGGTTGTGCAGATACTCAAACCCTCGGCACATTGACTGGAACCATGTGATGTCACTATGTTTGCAAAAGGTTAAAGACAGAAAACTAGAAATAGTTAATCATGGGATTTCCGTCAGTGTTAGAGCAAATGATAGTTCTTGTTTCTCTACTTGTCCATTGTCTCTTTCTTCATTTAAAACTATAGTTTTATGCAAACTATGTATTTAATACATAATCTGAGCACATTTTGCATGTTGAAAGTCCAGCGTTGAGTCTTCAGCATCTTTAGTTGTATGTGTATATGTGTGTGTTTTATGTGTGTGTGTGTGTGTAATCTTAGGTGGCAAGACTGAAAAAATCTTTAAATGTCTGGATACTTTGCTTCCACTCCTTTCTTCTGTTTATTTTTTGCCCTGCTCCTTTTCTGCCTTTCCAAAATCCTCACCTGTACTAGACCCTGAAAGGTGCACAAAGCTAGCAGCCCACCCTATCTATAATTGTCCGCATTGCTTTAGATGTGGAAATGGGAAGTAGCCTGCTTTGTTCTGGAACTACACTGGGGAAGTTCATACCTTTTTTAAAATCAAATAAAAGATAGCATTTAAGACAAACATAAATGCACACCCCTCCCCTTCTCTGTTTCATGCTATGTGTGAGCTGAACATATCTTCATTCAAGTCTGTTCCATAACATTTCCTTAGTAATCTCTACTTTTTTTTGTTAAGAAGCCTAATAAAAAAATACCATTTTAAAAACGTATTTTCTCACAAAACAAGCATTTCTAAACACATTTTGATACTTGTCCTAAGTGAGAACTGCATTGCAAAATTCAGAGAAGTGCAAAATATGAATTATAACGATTCATTCACATGTAAATTCCCATCTGCACATTTGTCCAGGTGGTCAATTTATTTTGGAGTTCAGAAAAATAAATTTCCTCTAGAATCCCTAATAGCATTGTTAGTAAAATGTGATCCACAGACATCTGCTTTGTTTGCACAACTGGCTAAGCCTACAGAATAGAAGAAAATTAAACTGGTAACTTTTCCTTCCAAGAGGTTATTATACACTCTCACCATATTTCCACCAACAGCAGTTGTGATTCCAGAGTTAATATAATTTATTCTCTCAGCAGTGCTGTTCCACCAAGCTATTATTCCCTTTTTTCTTTTCTTGCCCCTCTTGGCTTAAACCTACATGAGAATCCTCTCTTGCAATTAGAAATTTCTTTATCGCAAACTATCACAGCCTCTTCCCACCCAGTCATATTGAATATTGATGCCTTCTGATATCAACATTTCTCTATGAAATATTCACATCCTGGTAGGAATAAGCTCTGCATTGGAGATTAGTCTTCATGCAGCCCTAGGTGATTAAGCCAAGATAACGGGCAGGGCTGTTAGTCAGAGGAGCAGACTTTTACAGACAACAGAAATTATACACTTCCATCTCAGGGGCTATCTTGCCCATTCAATGGGGATTCTGAATGGTTGCATGGCAACTGCCTCAAGAATGCATGCATGGATCCCTCACTATATGGAACTGCAATCACTGAAGGCCATTCATCAACTTCACTGGGGAACATGCTCATACATATCAGTTAAGCTCAGCAACTGCTGCCTTGTGCAAAGTGCTGGCAGATGATCTGTTAGTTCACAGCATCCACCAGAACCTAATGAAACACTAAAATTCTCAGCATGGCCTGAAGAGTGTACAGATCCTTGTTCATCTCCGACTGCCCTTGTAAAATCCCACAGGATACATTTTGAAATTGTAAGTACATAGCATTGAGAGTCTTAATGCATTATAGCCGAGTTCCCCTTGCCCCCCACTAGTAAGCACAGGGAGAAAACAAAATATGACTCTGGTCTCATTTCTAGATTTCGGATGGTGACATTTTAAAAACAAGAACACTTTCTTCGTTTTTTTAAGGCATCTCATGTTTCAGATTTCAGCGCTTCCTCTTCAAAAGGCTCATCCAGATGGCAGCTTTCCACTCTTTGATTTGATTCAGTGGCACTCACTCAGGGACCCACGAAGTGACATGGAACAAGTTGCTACATTGATCCCATGAGAAGCTAGCCATGTCCATGGAACATTTTTCCAATGCAAGTTCCCTTTGTCAACTTCTTTAGCAAATGGAATTCAAACTGAGAATTCCATACCCCTAGGTGGAATGGCATTCTCAGTCCCTCAAATTAGGGCCACCCCAAAAGTTACCAGTTAATGTTTTGATGGCATGTGATTGCATACAGTTTCCCTTAGGCCTTATTATTGGCTCCCAGTATGTTTCCGAGCACAATTCAAAGTGTTGGTGCTGACCTTTAAAGCCCTAAACGGCCTTAGTCCTGTATACCTGAAGGAGCGTCTCGACCCCCATCATTCGGCCCGGACACTGAGGTCCAGCACTGAGGGCCTTCTGGCGGTTCCCTCATTGCGAGAAGTGAGGTTACAGGGAACCAGACAGAGGGCCTTCTTGGTAGTGGCACCTGCCCTGTGGAACACCCTCCCTTCAGATGTGAAGGAAATAAGCAGCTATCTTATCTTTAAAAGACATCCGAAGGCAACCCTGTTCAGGGAAGTTTTTAATATTTGATGCTGTATTGTTTTTAACACTTGATTGGAAGCTGCCCAAAGTGGCTGGGGAAACTCAGCCAGATGGGCAGGATATAAATAATAAATTATTATTATTATTATTATTATTATTATTATTATTAGTTGGGCTAATACACTCATGCATAAAGTGTGTAGTACAGTCCTTCTGGGACTATGCCACCTGAATAGGAAGGGGATAGATTGCAAAGGCACAGCTAAATGTTTTCTTATTCCCGCTTCTTTGAGCTTCCCTATGTTGCATTTTGGTAGTATGCCTGCAGGTATGGCATTAATTCCCCACCTCCAATTATCATCATCCTCAAATCAAAAGCTCTTTGCCATGGAAAGTTACATGGAGAAGTGTTCTAGTTTAGTTCTTACCCTGGCACTCCTTTTTGGGGTTTTTTTTTCCATGTTCAGGAAGTTATTTTTATATGGGGGATCCAGTTTTATAAAGTGGTTAGAGTGCTGGACTAGAAGCAGGAAGCTCTGTGTTCAAATTCCCACCTCACCATAAAGCTCACTCGGAGACCATGGGCCAATGACACCCATCAACCAACCCTCTGCATAGGGTCGTTGTAGGGAGCAGGAGGACCATGTAGACTACCCTGTACTTCGTGAAGGACAGGATAAAAATAAATGCAATAGTCACTTCCATTTTAAAGTGGTGTAGTCTAGTTCTAAGAGAGAGACATCGTCTACTTCTCTGGAAATGTAAACCAGCTGTTTGACTTGATGCAAGGAACTGAGATCAGTTCCACCAAGCTATGCTATTCTTTGCTGCTGCTTTTATTATAAAGCCAATACGAAACAAATTGTTGTGAGCAGCTGTGTTTGCTCAATGTCCTTCATAAGAACACCAGCAACAAATGACACAGATGAAGCTCAGGTACAAGATCAATGAATTGCTGTAGCTGAAGGAGCAAAGTAGTGGATTGTGAAGAATCAGGAGTCCTTTTAGAGCTGCCAGCCATTGCAAGCGTAGGTGTGGGAATTTGAATTGCTTTTACCAAACATTGTACCATATTACATAGATGTTACAAGTCATCCACAGATTTCCTATTCATTTCTAGAGTCTGTTCAAGGTACTGGCACTCCAAGGTCTTAACCTGGACTTGGATCCATTCAGGTATCTCAGAGTTCGCCTTCTGTCTGTTAAGATCGTCCCTTCTGGGTCCCTTCCTTTTCAGTGGTGAGGTTGCTAATCCCAGAAGTTTAGGACCTTTTCAGTAGTGGCACTTGTCTGTGGAATACCTTTGGAGTTCTGTAAGGTGGGATCCCAACCCACCATTAGAAAAAGGAAGAATTTAAAAAGCATATCAATGTAAAAATAATAAAAAAGAAATAGAAAAAGTGAATGGGACAAAAATAAAGCTTATAATTAAAAAAAACCACACCTTAGTAACAATACGAATGTAAAAGAAAAAGAAGAAGAAGAGAACAATGAAGAAGCAAAACATTAAAATGAAAAAGGTGCTTACGCACTTACATAAAAACGAACAAAAGAACAAAAAGGGAAGCAAAAACAGGACTTCCGGCTTGAATCAGGTGCATAGCAGCTTTCTCTTTTTAACGATAAAAATTTTAACTTATTCATAACAGAAAAGAAAAGAAAAGAAGAGGGGAAAGGAATATTTAAAAATAAATTAACAATATTTAACAATAATTTAAAATTGTTAAAAGTTAACAATATTTAAAAATAAAAATCATGAAAAAGATGAAAAATCATGGAGAGTTATGGTTTCAGTTTGTTGCTAACATTAATAGTTTGTTTGGTTTTATTATTTGACCATGGACTTCCTGCTTGGATATGGAAAAAGAAGAAAGGAGAAGAAAACTCTTGAAAAGTTGAGAAAGGAAAAACAATAGGTACTATAAAGTTACAGCTTTAGTAACCCTATCTATATTTAAGTATGTTCTGTATTTACTAATCATATTCAGAATACACACACACACACATATGATATTGATCTATTAAGTGAATGAATACTCTATTTCCCGGATTACATAGAAACCTAGTGAAACAATATATTATACAAAAAAGAAAAACCAAAAAAACCAAATCCTTCTTTTCCCCCTTTACTTTTTTACTCATCCTTCAATAATTTAACCTTGCCCTTGTGCTGTTTTGCATATCTTTGTAGTGAGGCTCATTTTGTAATGCAGTGCTTTTAAAAAACCAAAATGCCTTTACATTATTTATTTTTCTGTTAAATGTAAAATTATAATTCGGGTTTACTGCGGTGTGTGTGACTGAGAGCTTTCCTTGTAGGCCTCCTGGGCAGAAAATTGGAGTGAAGAGATTTGGGGACACCGTTTTTTCAAAAGTCCTACTCCTGGCATGTGTTATATGCCCTTCTCTCAGCCCTATGGCATTGATGCAACAAGGTTCTGCAAGTCTTGTCCCTTATACTATTTAACATCTACATAAAACTAGTAAGATAGTTCACCTGCCAATTTGGAGTGAGGGGTCTTCGGTACTCTGATGATGCCCAACTCCTGCCCTCTTCCTTGCCTGTAAGAGAGACTTGCTACTTGAGCATAAAAAAGACTGCCAAGTATGACCTCATACTGATGCAGTCTCCCTGAAAGAGGGAGATGCTACCTGCCTGTAAGAGAGGCTGGACATTGTGACCTCAGGCTGATGTCACCTGCCCATAAGAGAAACTGCTATTGTGACCTCATGGTGATGCTGCCTGTTTGAAGAGAGGCTGGACATTGTGATGATGCTGGTGCTACCTGTCTGTGAGAGACTGGCTACTGTGTCCTCAAGCCCTGTGGGGCACTCAATGTTGTTTTTAGGGGGCTGGGCCCCGATTGTTCAGGGCGAACGTGGAGCCAGGCACAGAGTGACATCAAGACATCATTGTGTCAGGTCCCCTCAATGTTTTTTAGAAAATGGCACCTTTGCCTCAAGCTGATACTTCTTGATGATAGTACTTGTCTATAGGAGAAGACTGGTGGTTGTGACGTCATGCTATTACTATTTGTCTGAAGGAGAGTTCATGACCTTGTGACCTTGTGCCAATGCTGCCTCCCTGAAGGAGAGATGAACTAGCCAACAAGTGAGGGATGATTTTTTCCCACAGGTCTGGAAAGGTGTCCCTTGTTAACAGTCCTGGGTTGCCCCTTTAGAACTAACCAATTCATGCCACAGTTCTGCATGCGTCAAGGGAACAATCCCCATGGAAAAATCATGAAGATTCATCATGACTTTGTTCCATATTGTTGTACCAGGGTAGCACTGGAAAACACTGTTCAGTCCATGGAGAAAGGTGGGCTCTGCAATTTGTTGGTGGTTTGGGGCAGCTTCTCTGTAAAAAGTATGCACAACTATGGGTGATATTCAACTAAGTTTTGCTCAGAGGAGGCACATTTAAATTAATGAACATGATTACATTAGGGCCATTAATTTCAGTGGGTGTACTCTGAGTAAAACTTAGTTGAATACTGCTCTGTTTGTTTGTTGTGAACACTTGTCCAGGATTCCCAGTGAAATTTTATAGGAATTTATTTTCTGTTATTAATTTGGTGGTTCCCCCAGTCACCCAAAGCAGGTTTTTTGTTTTTGTTTTTACATTGGCAACTGCTATTGTTCTTTTTGGCATTGGTGACCATGCACGTGTATGTATATGGTAACTGAAAGCAGGAATATCTGTTTTATTTTCTAGCTCTATTCTAGAACAATTATTGCCAGCAACAGGCAATGCAACAGGCAGAACATCTTGGGCTTGTTCACCTCCTCATGTGCCAGCAAATCTCTTAGGACTGATAAAAGGAAGTATTCTTCACACAGCGCATAGTCAGCTATGGAACTCACTCCCACAGGAGCCAGTGATGGCTGCCATCTTGGATGGCTTTAAAAGAGGACTGGACAACTACATGGGGGAGAGGGCTATCAGTGGCAGAAATGCTTCCAAATACCAGGGTGCTGGAAACCACAGAAGGTGTTAGGGACTGAGCAGAGGAGGAATGGTGGAGACCGCCACCCCATCCTGACCCTTCCAGGGAGGATGACGAAGAAGACAGTATAGCTTTACAACAATGGTTTGAGGGAGGTCACAGCTCAGAGGCAGATGAGGGGGGAAGTTGGGAAATAATGGGAGAGGAGGCAGGACCGGAACGGCAGTTAGCTGACACAGTGTCTATAGAAAGCATTCCAGACCCTCCATATCCCAGAACCTGGTGAGCCTTAAAAGTAGGAGAGCAAAGAGCTCAAAGACAGTACCCATACAGGAGATTATGATGATGATGATGACAAATGAGGAAGTGGGAAAGACGGGGGGGGTGGAGATTCACTCGGGACAATGCCATTATCCAAGAGGCTGGGTTCTATAGCCTCTCTCTTTAATGTTGAAATAAAAAAGGATGGCAAGAAATTTTCCTTGTGTTTATACTTTCCTGGGCAACCAGCTGGGAGCCTCTGACAGCATACTGACAGGAAGGGAGAGTGCTCTGGTGTTTGTGTTCTGCCAGTGAAGTCATCTCTGTGTGCTGGGCTATGTCTGAGCAAAGAAACGTGAGTCCTTGAAGAGATAGCAGTCGCTATTTGAAAGCACCAGAGAGCCAATTTGAAAGAGGATGTGATTATCCCCACAGAGAACACTGAAAAACTAGAACTAAATTAGCAAAGATGAAAAAAGAAATCAAAACTCAAATGTTCTACTTCTGTACAGATCTGTTCTGTTTATCTGTCATACCTATTCTGTATATATGCCCTGAGAAGGTAATGGGCTGGATGAGGACTAATCTAAACCTCAGTTAGGACAAATTTGATAGCAAGTGGAAGGAAAAAGGGGGCAGCAAAAGAGCCAAAACTCAGAGTGATGTTGAAATATGTATTTTTTAAAAATCAAATAATTAATTGTTCTTGTAAAACAATAAAATGCCATTGTTTCCATTAATGATAACCTTCCTTGTGGGCACTGAAATATCATGTAATTAATATGTAAGAAAACCATTATGCAGATAATTATATACATGAATAATACCATAAAACCTCTCTTAAGTTTTTTATATTAAATAAACCATCATTATGTATGGAAAACCTCAACTATTCATAATATATGACACACAAAACATATTTATAGATCACTGTGAAATAATAATACATAATAAACACCCACCCACACATATATATATTCTCTAAATTCTATGTTTCTAATGGAAAATCATAATATAAATCCCTTCATATGTGTTGAAATAAAATACACTGGATTACAAATATAATCTGTGTGCTTTTATGGTATATACAGAAAAGAAGGGAGAATTAGAAGGATAAAGGAACAAAGGATGATATAATTACAAGCACCTCAAGCCACTCTTTAAATACATATATTAAAAACAACACATTATAATATATTAATTAACATTAATATTGCTTAGATTGATGGTGTCAGTATTGATGTCTAAAAACTAGTTCACAGGGCTCTGTAATTCTGGGATGGTTCTAAAACAAAGCCCAAGGTCTGACTGTCTAGATGAAGAGAGGCAAGCTCACTGGATCTCAGTTCTAAATGGTTCCCATTTAGAACTTGCTCCAAGTTGCATGATGTATCTTGCACCGAAGAATAATCTACCTGTGTTCTCCTTGCTGCTGCATGCAATAATACATGAACCAGACCTTTGGATTTAGTAATTAAAACCGTTTAAACTTACTTAATAGTGTGTGGTCTGTTCATTGCTAGAGGGATAGAGAGAAGGTGCAAGCGTTTTCAGACGGAATAAATGAGATATGCAAAAGGGCTTAACAACCTATGTGCCAACACTGTGCTGTTGGTTAATTCTGAGAATGTTTTAAACTCTGCTGGGGTTTCTCACCCACTGAAAAGAACAAAAAGCCCCATGTTTTGAATCTAGGTGCTCAGCCAATTTTTTTTCCTAATTACCCACACATGAGTCAGATCCATTTTCCACTCCACAATTTGACCTTTTGTGAAAGTACTCCAGCTTGAAGACAATCAGAAGGACAAACAGAAGGTTGTGAATCCAAGAAAGAAATGAAGATTTACAGTTTGTTCTAAAATAAGTTATATCATTAAGGGATTTCTCTCTGCATTTGTGTATTGTTTACATATGTAATAAAGCCATGCCAGTTTGAATAAAATGTCTTTGGCCCAGTGCATTCTTCCACTGCTGGCTAATGGTGAATCTAGCAAATACTATCATAGAACATACCAGATCTTTCTTTGCTGCCCCCCCCCACACCACAGTAAATTGTATAATTTGCACACCACAGTAGCATATTACGAACCAAAGTCTGGCTTGCGGAAGTTTGGATGCTGAAAAAAATGACTCGTTGGCACAAGAGACATGGAAACTAGAGCTCAAAATTCATGTCGTTAAGAGTGTGACTCTGAATGTTTGTGTTACAGTCCAATGGGGTGTGTACTGAGAAAGCAGGATGGATAAAAAATGAAAGCTAAATCCCACTGATCAGAAGGGGGAGTAGGGGGAGAAAGATTCCAAACCTCACTCTCCCTCTTGCAGCGCTGGTGGCTAGTATTTTAAACTTTCTTTTAAAATGACTTTTATTGTTTTCAATAAAAGAACACTCAAATTAAGATGTAACCAAAGAAACATAGGGCAGGATTCACCTAATGTGCCCGGTCAGGAGAAGCCCTGTGCATGGACTTTTGTTTGCGCGATGAGGCTTTCCTCCTCTCTGATAAGCAACCACCTGCCATGCAGAATTTAGCTGAAAAGAATGAGGTAAATATTTTAACGACTTTGCACTTTTATGAATGCTGCATAAAGGCTTCATGAATTAAATTATAATGGGGGGGGGGGAGGGAAAAATCTAAGGACTGAGAAACAGAATGAAATGAATGCTTAGCAGCATTGATTGCCAATGTTCCTAACACCTTTCGATCACTATGTTTTCCTTTATAGCTTGATACTATGTGGGGGGCAGAGAAAATGTGCCAAGTGAGAGTTCAGTTTAGACTTATGTCATATAGATGTCATCGGGGCAGTGCTTTTTTCTGGCGAGACACAGGGGTACGTAGACCCCTAAACATTTTGTGAATCTAAGTTTGGCCTCATTGAGGTGCAGTATTTCAATATGAGTAGGAAAATGAAGTACCCCTATACATTTTTTTTTTAGAAAAAAAGCACTGCATCGGGGCATATATATTTTTCCACACTGAGGCACATCTGACTCAAAACACATTTGAGCAGAGACTCCACCCCACCCGGAATATAATAATATTTATTTATTTATTTATTTATTTATTTATACATACATACATACATACATATGCCACCCATCTGGCTGGGTCTCCCCAGCCACGCTGGGTGGCTTCCAACAGAATATTAAAAACATGATAAAACATCAAACATTAAAAACTTCCCTAAATAGGGTTGCCCTCAGATGCCTTCTAAAAGTCAGATAGTTGTTTATTTCTTTGACATCTGATGGGAGGGCATTCAACAAGGAGGGTGCCACTACCGAGAAGGCCCTCTGCCCTAATTGCCCCTGCCTGTCAGCAGTTGCCACCACATTTGCCATTTTTTGCATCAAAAGTCAAATAACCAGAGAGTTTGCATGCCAAAGTATCCACAGAATGAGATCCCAACCCTTCATTACTTGACTAGCTGCTTAACAAGTTTTGGGGGAAATCCATGCCATTTATGCATTACACATCTATGTCATGTAGGCATAAGGATTGCACCAGGTCAGTCTTGACTGACTGGCACTCCTCCCATGCCTGATTTTTCTGCTAGAACTTTAGCTTCCATGCCTGTTAGCCATTCCTGGAGAACTGGAACGATATTCAGCCAACGCTTTGCCTGGCATTCCAGAAGTTATGTGCGCCCGTCCTTTTCTTTGGTGCACACTCAAAATGATAAAGATTCACTTGGTCCGTTTATAGTTTCCTATTCTACAACAGGCTATGCTCCCAGAGAGCACAGAACAGACTGAGAAATGGAGGCCCTGCAGATGTGATTGGACTACAGCTCCTATCATTCCTGATCATTGGCTATGTTCCTGGGGGTTGATGGGAGTTGAAGTCCAACAACCAGGGAGCTACAGATCTGCCACCCTCCCACAGAGTGATAGAGGAATATGTAAGGAAGAAGGAAGACGATACTATGAGGCAGTTGTCTGGGAGCCAAGATTGTTCCAGTTCCTTTCCACTCTGTGACCATCCTGGGCTTCCTTCTCCATAGGTGTGTCCAATAATTTCTCATATGTTACGCTCCATATGCAACTGGTAGTCAAAATCTGATCAGATACATCACATGAACTTCAAACGAGCCGACAGGAAATGACTTCATTATTGAATATAAGGGTGAGGAAAAAGATAGCGGGTGAGTGGGTGTCAAGTTGCATTATTTTTACATTTTACAATTCACCCATTTTCTGGCAATATAATCATTTATGCTAATGAACGTCAACTATCAAGTGTGCTAAAGAAGGATAATTTTAAAATCCAAAATTCATTTGTGCTTTGCTTTGTCATATTTTTAATAACCAGATCCATCAAGTTCTTTGCAGAATTAATTATGAAACAGAACTTAAGCCTGATTAACAAACACCAATTTTAATAATGAAAGGCTTGTTTGTAATTGTTAAACTGCAAACTATTAAAATGAAAACATGCCGAGCAGGAAGCGTAATCTCTTTTAATTTTCCATCTCATTCATTTGTTTTGTTAATATTAAAGCAATGCTTCTGTACTGCAGCACTGAGGATTTCTTTAAAAAATATATATGAAGAACCCGAAGGTGGTTGTTTTTTCCATGTTGACTGAACTTTTAAGGACAACTAAATTCATACTAGTGACTTCAGTAGTTTACTTACATGGTGTCACCTCTCTCTTTTCTTATTTGCTCAGAGTTTTCCTATTTTTTTAAAAAATCCTATCCTTGGAAAAGCATTTCCGTAACCTTGCATAGGGGTCAAACAGAACCCAATTAAAGTCTCAGTGTGAACAGAGTGACTGCAGCCAAAAACAGAAGCTGCCCATTAAATCCCCACTTCTGTCGCCATAATGTTGAGGACAGTTCCCCCATATCCTGATAAAGTATGTGTTTCCTTACCCCCACCAGTGAGAACCAGGAAGGTTCAAACCAACGATACTTTCATTGTGTGGTTCACAGTCACGTATGATTGCTGTTGTTAATGCAATACTCCACTGAGTAGAGACGATTTTCACCAGGGCTACAATGTAAGGAGAGGGGAAGTTAAACCCTTCGCTTCTCAGCTGTGATCCTGACAAAAAACACCCCTGTGCTGCAATTGACCTTAGAGGGGAAAAGCTTCTAATACAGTGGTTTCCAATTAGCTAAGCACAGCAGACCCTGTTTTTCAAAAGCTAAGCCATGGACACCTTATTTTTGAAAATGTTGATATCTCTATGGTGGCTTTGGTCTTCTGAATGGTGCCACAAACCCCATGGGCGGGTTCCGCAAACCACTACCTTGGGACTACTGATCTAATAGATCTTTGTTTGGATCACAATGCATCCCACCACACTGTAGTGTTGATGAGACCTGTCCCCCATGAGCTTTCTTTTGCTCTTCCTTTCCAATCACTGTTGGATATGTATGAGATATTTTGAAAGGTTATTAATGCACTTTGACTGAATACCATGCCCAGTGAATAGAGCTGAGTGGGTTCCAAAATGGTCGCCTGCTCTGGGCAGGAAGCACTGAGGAAAGGGAGAGGAGACAAAGGACTGGGCCTGGAGAAAGGCAGGGAAGGCAACAGGATAGCTGTGGGAGGGCTGCTGTGTTACAGATGTTGTCTCAGGAAATGGGCGGCCCTGCCAATTGGTGGTGCCTATGACAGCAGGGGACATGGGAAACAGCGGGAGACAGGGAGGAAGGAGGAGTGGAAGCCAAGAGAAAGGGCTCACACTTTCACATGTAGAAAACCTGGAGAAGCACTGATGCCAACCCAGCTGAGCTTACATCATGATGAAAAGCAGCAGCCTCAAACAGGGCCGGATTTAGGTTTGATGAGACCCTAAGCTTTGTCCTTGAGGCCCTTTATATGTCCAGCTGTCCTTTGTCAACAACCAATTGTCGCTGTTTTTTGTGTTGAATATATGCTATATGGTAATTTATGGCCCTAATAGGTATCTAACCAGTGATATTTTAGGGACAGGCTAGCAGGCGGGGCCCATTACTTCAACTTTGAATCATTAGGTCAACTTTGAAGATGATCAGTACTGAACTCATGATAATTGTATTTGCAGTAGAATGAATATTTTCGAATGTATTTTCTCTCAAAAGGCACATTTCAAATCTTCCCTTGAAAAATGCATTTTATTACATTTCTTGAGCTGAAAACCACTCCCCAGCATTGGGGGGTAATGTGACATTTGATGGGTAACTATGTTCTAATCCACACCTTAGTTCAGGAGATGCTGATCAGGGTCAGTTCATATTGCAATTCACGAATACTGAACTCAGGCATCCCTATCTATATATGAGAGCACTTTTGTCATGGAAATGCTCACCTGTGTTAGTGTTAGATAGTTATAGCAATTGCTGATAACAATGGCGGTCATGTCAACAATGCCAACATTACAATATAACTAGTGGGACAGCACTAGTGTCACAGCTATCACATATATTTTTTTAAGATAGAAACTAAATATTTGCTGTAGTGGGTGATATGTCCTTTATTGAGACTTATCTCCAGTACTTTCACAGTATAAAATGGATGCTCTAATAGCTCTTATCTTTCTCCAATATTTATGAAGTGCAATTGCTTTTATTTTAATTTATCACAAATGCAAAACCTAGTCATTATTCCGAGCGCTATTTTATGCATTTCAAAAATAGATTGGGGAGCATCAGGGTGCCATTTGTATTTGTTAAAATGAAAAATATCTCCTGGTTATTCCTTTTGATGAATCCAGCCTTTGGAGAAATTAGCATGAAAGGAGACCAGACAATGAGAAACACAGACATGAGCAATGAATTATGCAACAAACAACACAAAGCACAACATTACTATTTATTAGGAGTCAGGGTCTGGCTCTTTTGCATACAGAAGTTTGGATTCTGGAAAGTAAGAATCATCAGCACAGGAATTGCTTTTTAAAGTGTCTCAAAACCCACACCATAAAGGTGGGACTCTAATTTGAGTTTGGATCCAATGGAGTTTCATATGAAAGAGACAGTTGCACAGATGGAACCTTTCATTAAAATCAAAATTCCCTCTGATCAGTTTTTTGGGAGAGGTGGCAAGGAAAATAAGTGGGTTCGGGTTGGCGGTATTCATCCCTTCTGTTCCCTCTCAACAGCCGTTTGCCAGGACTGCTGGCATGGAGAAGGAAATCACTTCCGCAGTACTTATTTGTGCATTTGGTATCTCACCAAGCTAAGCATATACTCACGGAAGCCTTCTTCCAGTCTGTGTAGCTGGATTGGGGCCCTGGCTACAAAACAAGTCACATGTCACTTTCCCCCATAAAATATGGTAAATATAAAAATGTTTCCAACTGTTTTAGAAGCCATGAACCATCATGTTCCATGCTGGGTCCTAAATTCACAGACTTGTGCTTGTCTTCATGCAAATTGCTTTGATGCAAATTATCTGTATTAGAATGATAGAATCGTAGAGTTGTAAGGACCACAATGGTCATCTGGTCCAACCCCCTGCGATGCAGGAATCTTTTGCTCAACGTGGGGTTCGAACCCACAACCCTGAGATGCCTCATGCTCTACCAACTGAGTTATTATCCAAAGTTAATTGGTATTAGTGTTCTTCCTGTGCAAGCATTTCTCAACCCAGAAAGAAGTTGTTGTGGGGTTGTTTGTTGCTATTGTTCTTCAGAATCACCTTGACAAACATTTAATATGGGTTGGCATCCCTAGGAGGCTTTTGATTCTACTTCCTGCAACACAGAGGGGGGGGGGAGGAGGGAGGGAGGGGTGGCTTGGAACTGCAAAGCCCCAGAACTCTGAAACTCTAATAATAGGCTCCAAATACTTTATTCTCTAAGACAGACTAGCAGCTTTTGAGAGAAACGGACTGCTGCCCTGCTCACTGTGGCAGTTCGCTGCTAGCACTGCTAATATCCAAAGAGTAAAAAGGTAAAGGGACCCCTGACCATTAGGTCCAACTCTGGGGTTGTGGCGCTCATCTTGCTTTATTGGCCGAGGGAGCCGGCATACAGCCATCATCATAGAAGAATCATAGAATCATAGAGTTGGAAGAGACCACAAGGGCCATCGAGTCCAACCCCCTGCCAAGCAGGAAACACCATCAGAGCACTCCTGACATATGGTTGTCAAGCCTCTGCTTAAAGACCTCCAAAGAAGGAGACTCCACCACACTCCTTGGCAGCAAATTCTACTGTCGAACAGCTCTTACTGTCAGGAAGTTCTTCCTAATGTTTAGGTGGAAACTTCTTTCTTGTAGTTTGGATCCATTGCTCCGTGTCCGCTTCTCTGGAGCAGCAGAAAACAACCTTTCTCCCTCCTCTATGTGACATCCTTTTATATATTTGAACATGGCTATCATATCACCCCTTAACCTCCTCTTCTCCAGGCTAAACATGCCCAGCTCCCTTAGCCGTTCCTCATAAGGCATCATTTCCAGGCCTTTGACCATTTTGGTTGCCCTCCTCTGGACACGTTCCAGTTTGTCAGTGTCCTTCTTGAACTGTGGTGCCCAGAACTGGACAAAGTACTCCAGGTGAGGTCTGACCAGAGCAGAATACAGTGGCACTATTACTTCCCTTGATCTAGATGCTATACTCCTATTGATGCAGCCCAGAATTGCATTGGCTTTTTAGCTGCCGCGTCACACTGTTGGCTCATGTCAAGTTTGTGGTCAACCAAGACTCCTAGATCCTTTTCACATGTACTGCTCTCAAGCCAGGTGTCACCCATCTTGTATTTGTGCCTCTCATTTTTTTTGCCCAAGTGCAATACTTTACATTTCTCCCTGTTAAAATTCATCTTGTTTGTTTTTGCCCAGTTCTCTAATCTGTCAAGGTCCTTTTGAAGTGTGATCCTGTCCTCTGGGGTATGAGCCACCCCTCCCAGTTTGGTGTCATCTGCAAATTTGATCAGGATGCCCTTGAGTCCATCATCCAAGTTGTTGATAAAGATGTTGAATAAGACCGGGCCCAAGACAGAACCCTGTGGCACCCCACTAGTCACTCTTCTCCAGGATGAAGAGGAACCATTGATGAGCACCCTTTGGGTTCGGTCAGTCAGCTAGTTACAAATCCACTGAGTGGTAGCATAGTCAAGACCGCATTTTACCAGCTTCTTTACAAGAATATCATGGGGCACCTTGTCAAATGCCTTGCTGAAATCAAGGTAGGCTACATCCACTGCGTTCCCTTCATCTACCAGGCTTGTAATTCTGTCAAAAAATGAGATCAGGTTAGTCTGACATGACTTATTTTCAGAAATCCATGCTGGCTATTGGTGATCACAGCATTCCTTTCTAGGTGCTCACAGACTGTTTGCTTAATGATCTGCTCCAGAATCTTCCCTGGTATTGATGTCAGACTGACTGGGCGGTAATTATTTGGGTCCTCTCTTTCCCCCTTTTTGAAAATAGGGACAACATTTGCCCTCCTCCAGTCTGCCGGGACTTCGCCTGTTCTCCAGGAATTCTCAAAGGGGACTGCCAGTGATTCTGAGATCACATCTGCCAGTTCTTTTAATACTCTTGGATGCAGTTCATCTGGCCCTGGAGACTTGAATACATCTAAACTAGCCAAGTATTCTTGTACTATCTCCTTAGTTATTCTGGGCTGTGTTTCCTCTGCTGAATCATTTGCTCCAAATTCTTCAGGTCAGGCATTGTTTTCTTTATCGGAGAAGACTGAGGCAAAGAAGGCATTGAGGAGTTCAGCCCTTTCTGTGGCCCCTGTTTGCATTTCACCATCTTCTCCTCTGAGTGACCCCACTGTTTCTTTGTTCTTCCTTTTGCTACGAACATGCCCATAAAAGCCTTTTTTGTTGCTTTTAACCTCTCTAGCAAGCCTGAGTTCATTCTGTGCTTTAGCTTTTCTGACTTTGTGTCTACACGTGCTGGCTATTTGTTTGAATTCCTCTTTGGAGGTTTCCCCCTCTTCCATTTTTTGTACACATCCTTTTTTAATCTTAACTCAGTTAAAAGTTCTTTAGATAGCCACCCTGGCTTCTTTAGGCACCTTCCATGTTTCCGTCTCATTGGTATTGCCTGAAGTTGTGCTTTTACTATCTCCCTCTTAACAAACTCCCAGCCATCATGAACTCCCTTTCCTTTTAGTATTACTGTCCATGGGATCTCACCCAGCACTTCCCTAAGTTTTATGAAGTCGGCTTTCTTAAAGTCAAGAAATTGAGTCCTAGTATGCTTGGCTGCTCCTTTCCGCTGTACTTCAGAAGAGCATGATCACTCACGCCTAATGATCCTTCCACTTCTACCCCACTAACCAGGTCATCAACACTGGTTAGGACCAGATCTAAAATGGCTGTTCCTCTTGTTGCTTCTCCCACTTTCTGGACAATGAAGTTGTCTGCAAGGCCAGTGAGGAATCTGTTTGACCTTATGCTCTTGGCTGAGTTTGACATCCAACAAATATCCGGTAATTGAAGTCCCCCATTACTACTAACTCCCTTCCTTTTGCATGCTTGGCCATCTGTTCCAGGAAGGCATCATCTATGTCCTCCGTTTGGCTTGGGGATCTATAGTAAACTCCCACAATGAGGTCACTGTTATTCTTCTCTCCCTTAATTTTGACCCAAATGCTCTCACTTTGGCTTTGAAGTTCTAAATCTTGGATCTCTCTCACAGGTATACACATCCCTGACATATAACACCACTCCTCCTCCTTTCTTGTCTGGTCTGTTTCTCTGAAATAGATTGTATCCCTCCATTATTACATTCCAATCGTGGGACTTATCCCACCAGGTTTCAGTGATGCCTATTATGTCATATTTTGTTTGCTGTACCAAGAGCTCAAGCTCATCTTGTTTATTTCCCATGCTTTGCGCATTAGTGTACAGACATTGAAGTCCATTAATCATTCCCCCGTGTCTCTTATTTAAGGATTTTTTCCTCCAACCACTAGGTCTGCTTGCTGTTTGCTCCATTTGGTCTATAACATTTGGATGATCATCTTCATCAATTGATAGACTCCTACCTTCAGGAGCACTGTCTCCCTCCTCATGTGGCCAGCATGACTAAGCCACTTCTGGCGAACCAGAGCAGTGCATGGAAATGCGGTTTACCTTCCCACCTGAGCGGTACCTATTTATCTACTTGCACTTTGACATGCTTTCGAATTGCTAGGTTGGCAAGAGCAGGGACCAAGCAACGGGAGCTCACCCCATTGCTGGTATTCGAACCACTGACCTTCTGATTGGCAAGCCCTAGGCTCTGTGGTTTAACCCACAGTGCCACTCATGTCCCATCCAAAGAGTAGCATAGCAATAATTAACCAACTAAACAGAGGTCAAAAGACAGAAGGGACCTATAGGATTCACATTGATCCTATAAAGTTGTTGGATCTTCACGCTGAACTGACCTTGGACTGCCACTCCTTGCTTGATTTTCCAAGCACCCAGACTCTCAGTCTTGTCTGACATTGCTCAAAGAATCTGTTGACTTGCTCTTCACATCTAAAGCAGGTTTAGTGTTCAAAGGCTGTAAGCACCACCACACTGAACTACCACCGTCCTTAAAGGAAAGATTTCAGAAAATGCATTCATTCCGCCTTTATGACCTCGTACCATCTCAGAGCATGTGACCTTAGTGTCATGTGACATCAATGTTGTTATCAAACTTGGACATCTGTGACAGGGCACAGGTTGGACTAATCATACACGGGCACCCCTAAAACAGAGAGATAAGTCATCCCTGATTATAAAATATAAAATATTGTTTTCTTCCCTCAGCTTTTCTTCCCATTCCATAAACACAGTCGCTCAAGTGTTGACTGAAAACAAATGGTATTGAAAGAAATGAGTCATTTCTTAATTATTTAATGTATGATAGAGGTGTATAGATTCAATTTACGGGCTTCCGGAACTGATGTCGCAAATGTTTGTAATGTGGGGTACAGTATGTGTGCTAAGCTTCCTTACAGGAGTAAACTCCAAAGCATGCCTTTCTGACAGCAGGCAGCAAATAAACTGACAAGAACCTCTGTTGTCTTGGCAACCCAACACTATCTAAAACTCAGGGGGCAGCCCTACAACAAGCTCCGGGATAAGCAGCTTAGGATTCAGTGAGTCTTTGGCTCAGCCGGCATTAGGTCTCTAACCCTGGCTCAGCCAAAGATACACCAGCATAACATGCTCATCCTGCCTCAGTCAGCTGAGACATTGATGGCGGAGCCTTGTCTGGTGCAAGTCCCCCAACAGGGGAACGGTAGGGCTGGATCACAAATCCCACTCAGAGTGGTCACATGACCTGACAAGCCCCACAATTGAATGGGGTTTGGATCTGGTATAACATAATGCCAGCTTAATTTACACCAGCTTGCTTTACGCCAGCTTCTTGTGCATAGCATTGCTCTCTAAGTCAGGTCTGGGTAATGACGACGAAACATTCCCTTGCAAAATGGTGGTGCCCTTGTGCCACCACAGAATTCAGTCCATACATTTTTATCTCACGAAATGGTTCGTCTTCAAAAGAATCTGATTTCATCCGCAAATCCACCCCAGTGGCAAAATGTCTTCTCCATTGAAGCAAATTTTATTCATTTTGTTAATAATACTTGTGGAAACTTG